CAATTTATTTTAATGAAGTTTGAGTGTCTGAAAAGCAGACACAAAAGCTCCTGCAAGAACTTTCAGACACACAGGGGAAACGGGAAACTCTGCTGTTCACAGTTTTGTTGTAGAAATGGTTTTAACTAGCAGTTTCCTTAACTTCCCAGCCATAGGGCGGTGTGAATGTGTGCCAGTGGTGTCTGACAACAGAGGTGTGCCAGCCCCTCCTGCCTGCAGAGAACAAAAATAACTGGAGAAGATAACTTGAGTGTACTTGAACCCAGGTGGCAGAAACAGAAACCCAAACAATTTGTTTAAACAATATAGTTGTTTAAAATAATAAATTTGATAATTTTGGGAATGAACTTTTTACTTTTAAGTCTCTGGACAGGCTTACTTTTGTAAAGATAAACCTCTTCTCAAAGAGGGAGAAACTTCTGGTAGGAGTGCAGTCCTGGTCTGGCATGAGTCTCCTATCAGGGAGCAAGTGAACACTTGCCCCATCCCAGAGCACCCCCGGGAGAACTGGGAGCCTGCAGACATCCAATTTGGGGTCTTCTCCCCAGCACAGGGCTTTGTGAATGAATCTGAATCTGCAGGCAGCCCCTCAGCTACTCCCCCTCTGCACTGCAGCAGTATTTTGTGACCCAGGAGGGTCCTGGTGTGCCAGCACCCAGCAGCCCCTCACTCCTCCTCTGGTCTGACTAAAGTGGGGGTAGCCCATGGAGTGCACCCCTTGCAGTCCCTCCCTGTTGCCCTCTTCTCCATCCACCTACTATCTCTCTTTTGGCAGAGCAACCAGGACTGACTCCTCCAAGCTGGACAGATGTCCCACTCTTCGAGCAGCACACCAGCCTTTGGTAGAACTGATTGCTGAGTCCACATGTGTGACCCAAACCAGAGCCCCTGCAGCAATCCTGCCTACATTGCATCCTGGTGCAGTGTGTTTTCCAGCACATCCAGGGCCCAGGACCACGTGGATGAGCTGTGATCCTGGTCGACTCTTCTCCATCACTGTCACCACCCATTGAGGCCCTCTACTCTGCCCTCGAAGGGGAGATCAGCACCTTCATGAAGCACATGCAGCAGTGCCAGGAGGGCTTCGATCTGCACAGCCTGTACCATATGCTGCTGCTGGCGCTGACACGGAGCCCCTTGGGGCAGGTGGAGAGCTGGCAGCACCTGCAGAGGCTTGCCCACTGCCAGCCTGGCTCAGGCAGCCCTGTCGTGGCCAGCAGCTATGTGGACTGGCTGGCCTCCTACCTGCAGCACCTGAGCACACTGAAGGAGAGGTTTGATGCCAGGGTGGTGGTCCCTCTCTGTTAGAACTTGTACACGCACGAGGAGCCAGCTGCCTGCCCTACTCAGTGGTCCCTACTGGCATCCATCCCCCACCTGGCCGCACAGCTCTTTGCCCACTGGCGTAACTGGGGGCTGCTGCTGCAGGGGGGGACCCTCAGCCAGAGGGTCTTCAGCCCCCAGAGCTTGCATGACCTCTTTGGCTTTGCTGATGTGAGGCCCTTTGTCGAGGTCTTGAGGCTGGTCTCTGATGTCTTTCATCAGAGCTTGGCCACAGGAGATCTCGCCCAGAAGTGGGTCTCTCTTCACCACAGCAGGTACAGCCGCTCCCTGCCACCATCAGCATCACTGTCACCATCACTGCCACTGCAGCCACCACCATGGAGCAGAGCAGGGCTTGCTCCCAGAACTGTACAGCCTCCTCCATGCAGTAGGGCCCCCCAGCAGCCCAACTCTTCCCTGGGCTTGCCTCAGCCAATGATCCCACTGCAGCCTTCAGGGACGGGCAGCAGTGCTGGGGGGCTGCGAGCCCAGCTACAGGAGAGCCAGGAGGAGCTGCTGGCTCTGCTGCACCGCAGGGAGCGGGCAGCCACCCTTCGTGCTCAGGCCTGTCGTGTTTCCAAGCGCATCTGCCTCCTGTGCCTGCAGCAGTAGGGCGAGGGGCAGAGCTCAGGTATGGGTATGAGGGCTTGCCAGTGTGAGGCTGCCCTGGCCAAGGAGCAGCAGAGGAGTCTGGAGCTAGAGGAGTACCACCACAGCATCCTGACTGGCTGCTGGAGCTGGAGGTCAGGCCCATCCCCATCTGGAGGGTTGATGCAGTAAGGGGCACGAATTGCTCTGCTTGTGCTCCCTGGTCTGCATACCAGGGTGGGTGGGGGCACTGCTGCAGTCGGGGGCACTGCACAGGAAGGGCTGCATGTCCAGGTGGAGATGTGAATCTTGTGGGACTAGGTACAGCCAAAATCTCTCCAGTCCAAACCAATGGCCTGCTGGTTTAGACATTCAGATGTGAGGAACGATAGCTGAGGAGTGGGGAATGGGAGAGGAAGTGTTTCCTAACATGGCAGAGCAGCCTGTGGGTCATGGATTCTCCCATCCAACCCAACCGAATTCTCAGGAGATAGGCACCCACACTGCTTCCTCTCCTGCAGGTTCTGCAGCACTGCCAGGCCCTGGAGAGGGTGCTGCAAGGCCAGGCACTGCCTGCCCCACAGCACACCCAGCTCAGAAACAGGATGACTACCACCTGTATGCCTGGGCAGGCTCAGCCCTCTGCCTCAGCAGCCAGCCCCTGGAGCAGCCAGTGACTGACCATGGGCAGTGGGACTTCCACCTACTCCCAGCAGCAGCACCCTGGAGAGCAAGACTGGAGGACACCCAATCCACCACCGTGGGCTACAGGCAGCCAGTAGCTCACAGGGACCTGGCTCAGTTCTTGCCTGGGTAGAAAGCATGGAAACAACGTGTTTAATGAGATGTTTCTTCTGTGCTCAGCCCATGGGCCTGCCATTTGGCATGTGGCTATAGAATGCACAAGGAGATGGGCACTGAGTGCTGCCAAGCACACAGGCACAAGCATGCACATACACATGGATGCAAGCAGGCAGGAGAATGCATTTCTGGTTAAACACAGGGCTCAGCCTCCTGTTTCCAGCAGCCAATGTGGAGGCTGAGTCCACAGTAACCAGTCTGCTTGTTGATGATGATAATAGAAAGCCCACCTCCATGCTGGTAGTGGCTAACATGGTGACAGTCCTTGCTCCAGCTGGGGCTTGCTACCTTGCTGGCTATGGTGGGCAAGGAAGTTTTGTGCTGGATAATTTCAGTACATTTAGTTAATTGCCATTGGCAATAAAACTGAAAGTGTAGAGCCGTAGGCACAGTTCCTGTGAAGAGTTTATTGGTGTAGCTGTTTCCACTACAGTCAGAGGAGTCACAATGCACAGAAACAACAGGCCTCCTACACTACACAGGGAGGACAGGACATATATGGCCACAGACACACAGAGACACTCGTCTCTCCACCCTGGGCCCTGTAAGGGGGCCAGGCTGTGGGCAGGACCTGCTGCAGGGGAGGCTTCTTTCTGTGATGGATTATTTCTGCAGCCTCCCAAGGAAGGCATTGGACCCTCCCGGTAATGAAGCACCCACCATCTCTTGCAGGAGCCAGGCTGGTAAGTGGGAATGGGGGCAGTGTCGTCTCCCAAATCGAATGATGAAGTGAGCATCCTAGCTTCCCCTGGAAGACCAGTCCAGCTCTGACCATCAGGAAGAGGCTGGGCTGCCTTTCTCTTCTGACACTACACTTGGAGTTTCCAGGGGCAGCAAGGGCACCATCAAACAGTTTCTGGGCCACCTCTGAAGAAAGGCTGCAGGCTCGGAGACACCCCAGCAAACAGCTGGCAGGTGGAAAGGTGTGATGCACAGCAAGTCCCACCTGAACATGAGGAAGAACTTTACTGAGCAGTGAGTGAGCACTGGAACAGGTTACCCAGAAAGGTTGTGGAGTCTCCCTCACTGGAGATATTGCAGAACTGTCTGGATACAATCCTGTGCCATGTGCTCTGGGATGACTCTGCTTGGGCAGGGAGGTTGGACCAGATGATCCACTGTGGTATCTTCCAACCTGACCCATTCTGTGATTCTGTGGAGCTGCCCAGAGGCTGAGTGCTGGGCATCCTAAGTGCTGCTCCTTCCCACGTGGAGGGCACTGCTGGATGTGAAACATGATCTCAGTATGGCAGCAAAACTGGGTTTGGGGTTTCAGTGACTTCTTTGTGGGCTTGCAGGGAGCCAGACTGAGAGGATCACTGCACAGGGAAAGGGAGGGGACCAAAGGACTGGTTTGTGTTCCAGCACTACGTTTCTTGTATAACTTTTCAAATAAGGTTTGTTCTCAAAGACAGGAATGTGGGCATCAGGAACTGGGATACAGCCCTTTGATGAGTATTTACTCCTGCAACCTCTGTGGAGGTGCAGAATGGCAGAGGACTCCTCTTAGTTTCTGCAAGAGGGCAAGCACTGAAGGTTTCAAGATACCTGCTTGTCTCCAGCCTTCCCTCCCTGTGCAGTTTGCCTTTGGAGATAAGGCTAGGAAAACTGAGAGGGAGAGGAGCCAAACAGCCTCTTCCACGTCAAGCAAGAGCTGAAAATGGTCATGTGGGAAAGTGACTGGACAAAAGATGGTCTGGAGGACTGGGCCAGGGTGCCAGTCCCTCTTTGCCAGGTTGCAGCAGCCGCATGGGCCAGTAGCTGTGGCAGAGACCTGGTGTGAGCACTCCTAGAAGGGCACAGAGGGAGCAGGAGCAAGGCATCTGCCAGCTGAATAAGGAGATTGCTGGCCTGGGAGAAGAGGCAGCTTCTAGCCCATTCCTGTGAGTGCTCAGTGTCACACGCTGAGCTACCCAAGCTACGCAAGTGTCACGGTAGTGGAGAGGAATGGAGTGGCACCAGCTGGCATGGTTTCCCTTCACCACCTGGAGACCAGGCACAGGCTGCCTCCAGCAGGGAGGGGACAGACCCCTGACCCATGGGCACTCAGGACCCACACAGCTTTGGGATGTGAGAGGCATCTCTCAGCCCACCAGGTCCAAGAGGAGAGAGACTCACAGCCTCTGCTGAGCGAGCGATGGGGCAGCCAGAGCCAGGGCTGCATCCTGCAAGGTTATGGAACGGCCATTCATTGGTCCAGGCAAGAGACAGTGTGACTCACAGCAAGTCTCCAGTTAGTTCTTGGGAGGGGTGAGCAGGCGTGAGCCGCTTGTCTCATGAGCAGGGAGGGCAGCTCCCAGCTCACACAGGCATGTGCAGCTCGTTGTACTCGTCCCGGCCATCCTCATCGAAATTGGGCTCCGCATCCTCTGAGTCCAGCTGGGAAGAGGCAGAGACCAGGCTATGAAGGCCACAGCTGCCCCCAGTGTGGGGTTAAGCTGGGCATAGAGGGACCAGCACACAGCAACACAGTCAGCTGGGCTGTGCTGGGATAAGCAAAGTTCTTTCTCCTTCCCCCAGCGCCCGTAGGCTCCTTCTTTAAACCCTCATGCCCATCCATGCGCCACCAGCCCAATGCCCTTTCTATTCTAATGCCTGGGGCTTTGGTCCAGCACTATAGCTCCTTCCTCTCCCCCTGCTGGCAGCACTTACTTCTGGGTCTTGCTCCAGGCTCTCCTCCCAACAAAAGCTCAGGATGTTGACAGCAGCAGAGCAGCTGCCAGCTCTTAAAGAGCTGCCAGCACCCTGGCACTGTGGTTACATGCTGAAGTGCCAACAGCCATAGGCTCTGATATGCTACTGGTTCAGTGGGGGAATTGGTGTGTTTCTTGATGAATGAACCACAGGATGGAAGGGGAAATCCTTATTCCAGGCCTCTGCCTGGTAGGAACCTGTTTCCTTGCCCCAGGCTGCCCATCCATCTCATACTGCACTCTCAGGGTTACAAGACCCAAGGAAGCCATCCACCCACTTACTGCTGTTGAGCAAGGACCCTCAAGGCTTTGCTGGCCCATGATCCCCCAGCCTTTCAGGCTACCAAACCTCTTCAATCTCATTCCAGCACAAGCTAGACTGAGGATAGCTGTCTACTCACCGCTTTGAGCTCCCTGTCGTGGAAGAAGCGGGGCAGCACGAAGCGTCGCAATGGCACTGTCATGATCAGGACAAAAGGGAAGGCCAGCGATGCCACTGTAGATTTCACCACCCAGAGCAGCACAATGCAGGCCAGTTGAATGCAGGTGAAGAGATTCATTCTCCAGGTCTTCACCTAGTAGGTAAATCTAGTCTAAGAACACACTACCTTTCCACACAGATTAACAAAGACCCAACTGGCAAAACAAAACTCTTCTGCATAGCATAGTAGAGCAAAGTACCTGCTGCTGTAAAAGTCTACCTGCCTTTACAGCCAGGCAGGACACCATAACACAGCAGCCTCTGTGCTACCTGGCACCACATCCCCCTGGCACTGCAGTGTCCTTCCACCCCCTCAAGCAGTGCATCACTCCTACAAATTGTCTGTCCATCCATACGATATCCTGGCAATACACTCCTGGGAGCAGCCTACCAGCATTGTACCACATCTGCGCATGCCTTGCACTTACTTCTTAGCACAAACTTGCAGCCAAGCAGGGTCACCAAGCTAAGTATCACTCTAGCAAAATACCATCCTCCCCTCACCTGCTTTTTATTCATCTTTTCCTCATTACTTGGTTCTGTGCAACCTGCCTTTGCTCACCTTGACAACGTAGATGTGGTCAGGGTGGTGCTTGGATGGCATAAAGATCAGGAGCAGGCGCTCGTAGAGCTGGATGCCAGTGAGCGATGTAACCCCCATGTAGAGGAAGATGCCGAAGAGCACAGCCAGGGGGATCTGCCGCAGCATGTTCCCCATCACAATGGACAGACCTGCACAGACAGAGCTCAGGGCATGCGTGTCCCACACCAGCCCCTCCGCAATGCACCTCAGCCTCCGTCCCTCTCCCATCTCCTGTGTCCTGGGGTGCAAGGGAAAGGAAGCTCAAAATGGGTAGGTGTGGGCAGTCCTGCAGTGAGCAGGCAGGGCACAGACAGGCCCACGGGGCAGGGACACTGCCAGGAGATTCCAGTGCTTGGTCCTGACATCTCCCCCCTCTCGTTCCCTGAGCAGAGGCTCACCGACAAGGGCGGCAATAAGCACTCCGGTCACACGCTGCTCCTTCACCTCCTCGATCCTGGGCTTCTCCCCGGGTGCGATGGCCTTGCTCATGACAGTCAGGGCGTTGACGTGGGTGACAGAGCGCACTGTCGCTGCCGTCAGCCAGGGCAGCCCGAACAGAGCGCAAAGCCCCCCCATAGTGCCAATGAGCAGAAGGTCCAGGTGGAAGCCAGAGCCTTTCAGCAACTTCCTCTCCTTCTTGCTAACAATCAGCCTGAAAGAAAATAGAACCTGGCTCAGTGCAAGGCCCAGGTCAGTGCCCAGGGACAGTACTGCAGCTGGGGACAACACTTGCTCTCTGGAGACAGCACACATGGGGATAACAAGAAGATGGCTGAGGAGGGGGATGGTGGCTGTCAGCCTCAGGTTTGAAGTTTCCTCCTGTACTTGGCTGAGGCAGGTCTCCACCACACCATATGCCAAGAGGGGAGCAAAAAAATGATGGGAGAAGCCAAGGTACAGTCTGAAATTGCCAGGATCTTGCTCTTGCTGTTCCTCTGGGATGCCTCTTGCATCTCCAAGTGAATCAGCACCTATCCTGGCCTTGCCTGTCTAGGGGTTAGTACAGGTTGAGGTTGGAGGGGGAGGTACTCACGTAGTGATCTGTGTCTCCATGAAGATAAGGATGAAGACCAGGAGGGCAGGGATGGCAGAGGCAAACATCATCCACAGCGGAAAGGTCCCACTACTGCCCATGGGGTGGATGAACCAGCCACGCTTGTGAGGGGATGTGACTGACAGGCCGGAGGGGACATTCAGCTTCTGGTGGTGTAGGTGCAAAACCCAGCAGTTACTCATTAATACAAACAAGCCCATAGCCTCACATGGTTTTGATCCTCCTGCTCTCCCTGGTCTGAATGCTGCAGATGATGGGATAAGCCACCCTGAACTGAGCAGGACTTTCTCATGGATAATCCCCTTCACTGCAAATAAAACCATGTTCCCTACCATGGGCCTGTGTCATTTCCTTTCAGCTACTTAAATTCCCGTCATTTTTTTCCAAGAGACCAAGGAAGTATCTTCCCTCAGGAACCTCACCCCCATGTCAGTCTTTGCAGACCGTGGTTAAAATGCTCCTTGATCTCTGCTTGGACAAATTAAGTGTTCTGAACTGCCTACCATTTTCAGAGGTGGCCTTCCAGACTTTCCAAGGCTTTTCTGAGACATTTTACAGCATTGTTTTTGAACTGCAAACCCCAGAAGTGGCCACATTCTGTAGAAATGACCTCACCGTGACCATGTTCAGAAGGAATATCATGTTTGTTCTCCCATCAGACCACACAGACTCCTAGCTGTACATCATCCTGACCCTGCGTTCATCAGCATTTGAACCCTTGGCTCTGTGCTGCTCTACAGCAATTTCTGCTATCTGCACTGCAGGCAGAGTTTATGATTTGCATTTATGTTAATCAGCATAAGTATGAATAATATTTCTGGAATGTTTGTCCTTGAGTTAAGCTGTGTAACTAAGTACCATTTTCTCGGAAAGCTTTGTACATATGCTGAGTTAATACTAAAATGATAATGCTTTTGATATTAACTGTAGAAGTGTAGAAGGGTATGAAAAGAACGTAACAAAGTGCATGATTTTACTAACGTCTGAGAGACTGAAATTTTTCATTGAAATTCAAATGAATAAAAATGCATTTGGATTCCACCAAGCCTTGGGCTGTTTTGATAAAAAGCTTGCATGATGAACAGGAAATACTTTTCACCCTCTTTCCAATCTTAGGGAAAAAAAAAAAAAACAAACCAAAAATATCTAACTCCATATCTACTGAAAAAGGAGAAAAAATGAAACCTGTGAGATAGGTTTGTTCAATAACATGAAGCTACCAAACTTGAGTTTGCGCTTGAACTGGGAAAAAAATTGTGTCTGAGATAAAATAACCAAAGTATCAGTATCCTACAGTTAAAAATAAGTACACTGAGTACTAAAATCATTGCAAATACCCCACTAAAATCATTCTACATGCCACCTTCTTCAATGTGCATTAACAGTTTATGTCTTGTTGATTGACTGCAAGTGTTTAGAGATACAACAAGGAATGAACTGCACTAGATCTCCCTAAAGCCCCTAAACCGTCCCCTACAACAGCTGGAAGACCAGAGGGATAGCGGGCACTCCAGTCCCCATAGCTCTGGCCTCAGCCTCAGCAAGACCCTTGGAGCTTCCCTTCAGCGTGGGAGTGAGGATGAGGAGAATGTTTCTGTTTGCTTTGTGCTGTTATGACTAAAGAGGCAGGAAATACAAATTCCCCATTGCACAAGAGCAGCCCAGTGCCACAGGGATTAATGCTGGGCTGCAGGAGAGGCTCTGAGGGCAGTGCTGGCACCTACCTGTGTGTATGTGTCAGTGATGGTGTAATCCACCAGCACCATGACCAGGATGGAGATGGGGATCCCAAAGTCTCCGATGATCCGCCGTGCCTGCAGAACACAGACCTGTCATCAGCAAAAGGAACAGGCCAGCTCCATGCATGTATCCTGCTATGGGAGCCTATGGCAAAGAGAAGCCCCATATGGGGCCAAGCACCACTCCAAACCTGAGACTGGTGATGGGCAGGGCAAGGAAACCCAGCCTTGACCCATGGGGCTGTGCATCCCACTGCCCACATAACATGCTCTTAAATTACTGGCTAATTGCTCCTGCTGGCCTATTTAGACAGTGCTCCAGGTATCACACAGATGCCCTGCATGTAGAGAGATGCCCAAAGAGAAAAACTTGAAAGCTCTTCTTTCTATATTCTAGTTTAACAGACTTGTACCCAGTCCAAGAAGCTTTCCCAAGGTCCAGAGGACTTTCCAGCAAGCCTCACTGGAGCAAGACAGTGCAGATACCATCATCAACAGTCAGCTCTTGTCTGCACCCTAGGGTGGGCTACCATCCCTCCTGCAAGGTTAAGTTGAAATTTAAAATCTTAAATTTAAAGGATTTTTGGTGTTTCTTTGGAGGATGTGCAAGTGTTCTGGAGAATTAAAGTCTGTAGCCAGAAGTATTATTTGTTTGGCGTGTCCCTTAACATGTGAATCCCATAAAGTTCTCACCTTTCCTCCTAAGAAGCGGCTGTTCTTGAACTTGCGCATAAAGAAGGCAATGAAGAAAGTGCCTAGCATGAGGATGAGGGAGAGCAGAGCAGTGTTGGGCTGCATCCTGGTTCCCAGAGACATCGCATCCGTAGGGAGCACGCTGGCATTCAGGCTGCTCTGCACGTTTGGTGGGTAGAACTTCAGCAAAGGATGTTCTGCAAACACCTGAGCAGGTGAGAGAAGCAGCAGACAAGTTACTGCAAGGAGGGGCAGGGGCCACTGTCACTACTGGGGGCAGGGGGAAGGAGGTGTCCTGCTCTGTGGAGAGGGGAGGGCAGTAGATGGTGGGCACGGACAAGCCCAGCATCCATCACCTCGCCTCACAACCTACCCAACTGGAGAGGGTTGGGGAGAGAAAAGTGGCCCCTCTTTAATGCCTCCTGCAGGAAGAGAAGGGGAGGGAGACACTGGGGCTCTTCCTGCCACCCTCTGGAGTGGCACAGGAGCCAGCTGGGCTGAGGCATGAGACCAGCAAAGAACTGCTCTGCAGAATGTCTAGGAAAGCTGTGGCTGAGCTGGCCCTGTTCCCTCGCCTCCTGTGTGCTAAAGCAGCAGTTTCCTGAGGGATTAAGAAATGCAGCAGCCCATCTCCCCAGGGAAGGTTCACCTTGTACAGTTTGTAGAAGGTCTCATAGATAAAGATGAGGGAGATGAGGAAAGCAAAGATCTCCTGGGTGAAGGGCGAGATGTAGCGCACCAAGAAGCTTCCTTCTGCTGCCACGATAATGAAGATGAAGACGATGAGCCACAAACCAATCCACACTCTGCCTGTCAGATACTCAATGCCTTGTGTCTGGCAGAACTGAAACGGAAAGGGGAAGGAGTTACTCATGGCTCCTCAGGCTGCCTCCTGCATCCACTCCCCATTAAGATCAAAGACTGTCCTGGAAAAAACCATCTACATCTGCTCAGGCATCCAGCACAGAATCAGTGAATTCATGGCTAGAATCACAGGTAAATTTTCAGACTTTGTATTAACACCTGACAGCTCACACCAAGCAGATCTTTACCACTCCAGTCTTTGTACAGTACCTCCTTCATGCTCTGCTGAAGCCAGCCCATGCATAACATTCCCCATCCCACCCATATGGAGGTGCCGTTGCTCAAACACAGCTCTCCATTGCTCCATGCACTCTACAGCACAAGCCTATTCCCTACAAAGGAGATCCTGAGCATCCTGCTACATCCCACCACGATCTCAGACAGCACCCTGCATATAGACAGTTGTATATGTGTGGAGAAAAGCCCCCAGGCTACCACCACAGAGACCATCTCCACTGCCTCTGCTCATCCACACACACTAACTATTTCTGGGACAAATCACATGCCTCCCTTTGCAGCCTTCCTCAGTACCACCACAGGCAGAGGCACTCCTCTGTACACAGTGACTGGACAAAGCAAAAGCGGTCAGGGAGAAGTGCAGTCATAGGAGAGCAGAGTGATTGCCACTCTGCAGTAACATCACCAGCTCCGAACTCTTGACAAGGTGAAAATCCAGCTATAGAAAAAACCATGTTTTTTTCAAAGACACAGACATGCTAGGAGTCAGAGAAAAGGAGAAGAATTAGATCTACTACTTGAAGGTACAGTGATACAGGGATGCTTCCAAGAACAAAGAGGTCATGTTACTTGAGAAAAAGAAACATATCCATCCTGGCTGGCCAGGATACCTCTGCACACACCTTTGGGTTCATCCTTAGAGGTGGGAATAATGTATGACACATCCCAAACGGGTGGTACACTGAATGTTATTGAGCTCCCATAGAAGGAAACCTGGACACGGGTTAAAGTGGTGAAATGGTCTTCAAAGGACAACAAAGTTTTAGGATGCAGCTACAAGTGCTCATTATGCCAATGAGCTGCAGCACAGGGCTGGGGGACAGTGCTCTCCTCAGAGTCAGCATGTAGAGGAGTACTGTTATCAGTGTCATACCTCAAGGGATAATGGATACAACAACGGAAGGAAGAAGCCCCAGTAGTGGGACTGCAAAGGGTCAGCAGAGCCAAGGGCAGCTCTGGCTGAACTGAGAGCAGCCTGGAAGGACTCAAAGAGTTCACACTAACAAAGACCCTTTGTAGAGCTGAGAAATGCCAGCTGCTCTCTCCAGAGCAAGGACAGAGTGGGCAGGTGCCAAGCACAGACACTACCTCACATGTACCTTGTAGAAAGCTTCTTCAAACACCAGCAGAGGCCCTGAGAAGCCAATGACCAGGAGTGGCTGGGCTCCAAGCAGGGAGAAGAGGATCCCTAAAACTGAGGTGGAGATTATCAGCTCGGAGACCCCCATGAGACCCTCAGTTTTCTCTCCTGGGAAAGAGAACAATGCATGAGTGTTATAGCCTGGACATAGGTACCATCACCACAGACAGCAGGCTGCACAGCTCCAGGCAGAGGAGGCAGGTGCCCATCCCATCAGTCAGAGGTGCCCTGTCTTGGGCAGGGAGCATAGAGGGAGCATGGAGGGAGCCTGGGCAGCCGAGGCTGGAGAAGCCAAATGGCAGGGAGGGAACAAGGCAGCCGCCAAGGCACAGCACTACCACTCTCCCTGAGCAAACAGCATCAAAGCCCACCCCAGAATAGCATCACACAGGCACAGCCAGTGTCCCAGAGTGCAAAGAGCAGACCAGAAAGCAGGCCCATTACCTAGGAGTCCCCCGAAGGTGATGGCAGGAGAGAGAGCAGCAAAGTAGATGAAGAGAACGGCTGCGAGACACTGGCTGTGCAAGGCGTCTCTGATGTCACTGAGGTATTTGGGGTACCTGCGCTTTATGTCCCGAACCAGACCTCCAAAAAATATCCCGGTTCGCTTCAAAGGGTCGTCCTCAGCTTCCTCCTCTTCCTCCTCAGCTTTCACTTCACACAGCTCTGTTGGTGCATGGAGGGTAGGGCTTCAGCAAGGAACACAGCTGGGCCCTTGGGCTGTCCCTATCCCCAGTACCTGAGAGAGCAGGACTAGCCTGGTGGGCTCCCTGCAACAGCACATCCCACTGCCTCCAGCTGTCCCCAGCCACCAGAACTGTCCACAGTAACTGTCCTGCTCCCCTTGCACTGCTCCCCACTCTCCACTGCAGGAGCCAGGCCCTGCTCACCCCTCTGCTGGGCTCTGGGAGGAGAGGACCCACTGGGGCACACAAGGCACTAGGCACAAACTTGCCCAAACGTGAATTGAGAGACCTTTGGCTTCCTGAGCAGTCCCCTCCTTCATGGACTTCTGCTCCCTCTCCTTCCTCTTCTTCAGCAGCAACTTCTGGAAGGTGGCAATGGATTTGAGCAAGTCTTTCCCCTCCACCTCTGATGGGGGGATGACAATGCTACAATCCAAGAATTCGTTGATTGCATTGAGGAGGTCTTGACGATCATCTGCCATGTATGCAGCCTCATGGAAGTGCTGGAAAAGGGTCAGGGAAAAAGAGAGAGGGAGAAGGCTCAGATCAAGACTACATCCAGCTACCTACAGCCTGGAAAGACAAGGCTTGCTGTGACCTTTAGAGTAACATTCTGCTCCTCCATCCACTACTCGTCTCACTACTGCCACTCTGTGACCCACATTCCTGAATCCCACCTCCTGTTTTGAGGGAGAAGCTGGTAGAACCCTAAAGCACCACAGTTAAAATGCACAAGAACCATGACCTGAGCAGAGAGCATAAGAGAGTCTTGGGAATCTCCACATGGGAGACAGAAAGAGAGCGAGAAAATAGGCATCTACAGCACAAGGAAAGCCATGCAAAGGAAACTAGGCAGAAAAGGGGAGATATTTCTGACAGCAAGAGCAGGTTAGCAAGGAAGGACTAAGGAGACCAGGCAGGGAGGTGCTGGCACACAGGTAGAAGTGCTGCACTGCCTCTGGAACATGTCTCCAGAGAAAAGGCTGGAGGATGATGAATGAGTGAACAGCCTGTAAAGGAGGTAGGGGACAGCTAAGGTCCCTGCAGCACACAGACTCCCTGGAGCCACAGCTTCAATGTAAATGATACTGCACTCTCTCCACGGCGCCAGGACTGTGTAACCTTGCTGTGGCCGGCCTCGGCTGCAGCAGCTGGCTCTGTTCTTCCACCAAGAGGAGCAGAGACTCAAATGAATGAGGTCAGCCCACAAACACAGCACTGAAGCTGGAACAACATCTCACCTCTTCTGGCTAAAAACACATTCTCAGCTGAGCCCTGCACAACTTCAGGGAAAGAATATTTCAATCTTGCTCTTGCCTCTAATGCACTTTTTCTGATCGAGCCTTTTAGTCTCTAGTTCAGTAAAAGTTGTGCAATAGTGGCAGTACAGGAAGGTTTGTAACTTGCTTATAGTTACATGGCACCAGCAGGAAGGACCTGTGAACCTCTCATGCTCTTGTGCTGAATGTTTTCAGCAGATGCTCAGATTGTCTTTCCTTTGCATTTAATTCCTTACCAAGATAATAAATTTCACTGCCATCTAGACAGATGGGGGACTTTTTGCTTGGCAGAAAAACCTTCCTGCCTCCTCATCTTTCCTATATGGATGTCCTCCTCTGCATGGATGCCCCAGCCATGGGACTCAGCTAGAAAGCTTCCTCCAAACATCTGAAAACAGTCCCCAGGAACTGCTGGATCTTTTTGTCAGTGTGGTCTGGGCCAGGTGCCATGGCCACAGGCATCACTCAGCCTCCCCACCTCTCTGTGAAATGTCGACTGAACATCACTCCTCTAACCCTGAGTCATCTTTTTCTTCTGCTTTTACACATGGTCCCTTTCCTCACCCAGCCTAGCCCAGTCTGTCCCAACCAAGTCAGTGTCTGTCCTACTCTTTCCTCTGCACTGGAGAATTCTACCCTGGCCAAGCCAGGCTAATCTTAAAAATCCCAGGTGCTCATACCTGCCTACCCCACCTGAGTCTTTGCACAGCTCTCATCTCAGGACTGTCTTCTAAGGAGCCAGCAAAGCTCCCTCACAGCATCACTGCCCATGGGCTCCTCACCTTGTCAGACATGAGGGTGGAGATTGAGCGGCCAATTTCATGGTAGTCCATGTTGGCCTGGCTAGGTCCCAGCAGCACGAAGATGAATCTGACAGGAATTGGGACCTCCAAGACAGATTCCAGGAAGACGGCCTCATTTAGTCGGACAAAGGCCATGGTTGGCTGCTCCAGAAACTGCACACAACCTACCAGGGGGCAATGTTTGGAACAGAGTTAATAACTGGAGTGAGCTGTACTGGGCTGCATTTAAAAGCAGAGACAAGGCTTTTGGAGGTTCCTACCAGCCCTGCAGTCATGTACTTTCTCCAGACCATGAACACGGCACTGAACTTCATACTGAGGACTGCTCCAAGGGCTTCACTGATCATTCACAAGCAGTGCTACTGTCTTTAGCCTCCCAGTTAAGCTCATTCTCAATTCCTTACAGGTGGCTCTACTTACACTATAAGGGGCTAAGTTTAAATTGGAAGTTTGTTTTCCACTCAGGAAAGTAAATGTTACATGTTACTTTTATCAAACAAACTTCTAATCTCATCAAAGAATGAAATCAGGTTTGCTTGACATGACCTATTTCCCATAAACCTTACTGCTTGGCAATAATTACATTCATATTCTTTAGCTCTTTATTAATTGAATCCCATATTAGCTCTGCCACTATGCTGGCCGAGAAGGATGTCAGGTTAAACGGCCTATAGGTACTGGCTCACTGTTCTTCCCTCCTTGAGCACTGATGCTACGAGCTTCTTCTGTTACCTTATATGTTCCCTGTATTCCTAAACTTTTTTTTTCAAAGAAAAGTAAGTCAGTGCTCTAAAGACTCATAGGTGCAAACTGCACATTTTGTTTTACAATGTCTGCATCTCATCAGTGCTTGGCAGTCTCCTTGGTTCCTAACAGATTGCATCCTCCAGCACACCAGCAGCTTCCTTCACATACTGAACACAAATGTTTATTGAATGCTGGTATTTCTCTGGCATATTACTGATCTTTCTGCCATCTGTGTCCAGCAAAGAGCTGTGTTCTGTGTCAGGCTGGCAAATCTGGGCCTTCTGAGAGTCAAAGCAAATCCCAAGACATAGCCTTAGCTCAGAAACAAGCCAATGTTTAGTTATTTGAGACCTCAAAAGTGCATTTATGAACGTGATTTGAGCTCATCGTGATTAAGCATAGTTTGGTTGAGCTGCCAAGCCTCTTTGCCTGAGCTTTTAATCTACTGGGTAGACAATGGCATTTACTTTGCTTGTAGTATAGCAGGGTTTGCTGAGAAGTTAATGCCAGCAAAGTGCCAAGAAGGAATACTCTTGCAGTCAGAAGGCACCAAGCCTGCCTGCTCACAGCCCTCCTGTACAGAGAAATATGTCCTGGTAGTGCTACAGTCAATACCCGAGACCTTGCCACCAGCCAGGCCCTGCTTCTGTTAACTCAAAGCTTGCTGGCACACACAGCCAGCAGCCAACACTGGTCAGGGACAGAGCCCAGCTGCTGGCAAGGTGTTAAAGAGGCCAGACAGAGAGCAGCAATGGTCAAAGGGCAGGGTGATGGCTTGGCCATCAGTCCCTCAGGCACCACACAAGTACTTTTGAGTTGCAAAACCAGACATTCTGTGAGCCTGGCAGGACTTCCACCACTAAGTTGGGCCCCAGCTCCCAGCAGCAGCGTCTATCAACCTCTTTTTTAATTTAGGAAAAGAACTACCCTGGCAGGCCATATATTTGCTATAGACAAACAGAACATGAACCATCACCAAAGGAGGGAGTCTACCAGACTCAGTTTCCAGCTGAGCTTGTATGAGATGACCAAATATCCCTTAGGAGTGAGGGCACAGACAGCTGGGGCCACACCACCATCTGCACTAGTCAGTGGGGGACTCTACATGCCACTTCTTACCCACAAGGACCACTGTGGCCTCTGCATCTTCAGGGATTTTCTCCATCAGCTTCAAGTATTTACGATGGCCCTCGGAGTTATGAAGATGTGGGTTTTTCTGCCAGGAAAGAATACAAATAAGTAAGGGTGAAGTCCCCATGCTTTGGTCTCCTACATAGCCTTGCATCCCACTGGCATAAATGCAGCTGGGCTTGCCTTGGCTGCACACCCAATGCCTGCTTCACAGCAAGGCACCCTCACAGTAAAGGCCACCCTGCAAGTGCCAGGGCTGCTGCTGCCATTACATGCTCAAGCAGACATCTGCATACAGTGCATAGGCAAAATGAGGTACCAAAATCACAATGCAGCGGCTGATTTCCAGCGCTCCAGGTGATCCAGGGAGCTCAGTCTTCACCTTACAAGGTTTCCCCACAAAGGGGCTCAGAGGTGGATGCCATGGCCTGCTGTCAGCCAGTAGCAGTCCCCAGAGTGTGCAAAAAGACACGGTAACCCCCCCAGATCACCCTCACCTCCTTGCACTCAGTCTCGTTGGCCTTGGGGTCAGCCATCTCAATGCGCTCCTCCCCCATGAGGGGCACACACGTGTCTGTGGTGTGGTTGTGATGGTGGTTCCCCACGATGGAGTTCATGCTGGAGCTGGAATGGTTCCTCGGGAAGAAGCCCTCTTTCTCATCATTGGGATGGCTGAGGGGGAGAGTGGTGGCCATGAGGGGACCTGCCTCCCTTGCCACCTGGGGTTCACAGATAACCCCTGGGCCCTGGGAGGCCACATCCGTGTCCACCCACCTGTGTTTCAGCAGCAGGGCACGCAGCACGTTGGCTCGATCTTCTGCCCTGATCTGGTCAGAGATGATCATGGTCTCCACCATAAGGTGAGCAATGCCAGGCAGAGTGGTCTGCTCCAAGTCAAGGAGGACGGCACCTGCCAGCAATGAGGGGAAGAGCCCTGCTCCTAGAGTGCAACACTCCCCATTGCATTCGCACTCTGAGGACACAGCTGTTCCACCAGGAACCAGGCTTTGGTTGGGGTACAGATTCAGCTGAGAAATGCCCAAATCCAAGTGCCCCATGTCCTTTCTGTAAACCCTTTCCCCAAGACAGCCCAAAAGCTCCAAGGTGCAGTGGTAGTTCTGGTATCTCCTTTCATTTCAGTCGCCCACTCTGACCTGAAACTTGCCTTTCCACACCAAAGATGGGTCCAAGACCTGCTGGCCAAGGCACAGCTGGGTGTTGCAGCTTCCATGTGCCTGAGACCAGTGAAGCAGAGCGTGGCACCAACACAGGCACCCTTGGGCTAATGCAAACCCTGCCAAACAGGCAGCAGGATGTCTGTCTCCACAGACCCTACACGAAGCCTGGACACAGACACTGTTTTGTGCCCCCAGTGAGGGACCTAACGGTGACAGAAGCTAGCCAGTAAAACTTGTCCTAGAACAAGAGACAAACCTTGGACTGTTCTTCTTCACTCACCGTGGGCAATAGTCTTCCTGAGCTCCAAAAGACTGCGGAAGGACAGTGAAGCCACATGGGGTTTCCCCCACCTTGCTGTATCCTCTTCCACATTCTCCTCAAACTTGATCCAGCGGGCTGTCTCCCTCCAGTGCATCTCCTGGTTCTTATCTACCACAAGCTCATTCAGCTCCACAAACACCTAGTGTGGATTACAGTGAGGACATGAGATGTATACAGACACGCTACTGGAACGAACCTGACATAGTTTAACCAGAGGTTTACTGCACAGAAGTAGCCAAGATAAATATCACTGACAGCATGGCAGGAACTTCCATCAGCACATGGAGAACCAGAAAGCTCCAAGTCACATGGTATGGGCAGAAAGGAGAGAATGATGCAATGTTGCATGCCTTTCTACCAAACTACAGTAATTTTGTCCTCTGCCTTATTCTTAGTTTCCCCCTAAATTTCCCACACTTACCAAAGATAGTGAGGCTACTGTGCTGCCAACTTCCATAACAACATCACAATTTCTGTGACTTTTAATGTTTCTCCTAAGGTCAAAGCTTTGTGGTTTCAGGGAAATCTCCACTTATATTGAAAAAATCTATTTTCCTGATCTGTATCTCCTGATAACAGGTAATAGCTTGAAATATCATCCTCAAGGTCATGTAAAGAATTAATTATATTGAAACACATTTATCACTTTATAAATTGCATGTTTCTAGTCCTGATTTATGGCTTCTGAACAAGTGTGGGAGGACAGCACATGGATACCTCGTGGGGCTTTCTATCCAACTTCTTCTTCTTCTTCTTTTTCTTGACAGATGGTGTTGATGCTAATTTTTTGCTTGTCCTGGTGATCTGACTCCGAGATGGCTTTTTCATCAGATGCCTCCTCACTCCTGGGTTATCTTCAAAGCGGTGACCTGAAGACATAGGAAAGAAAAAAAGGCCACCAATTTGTCTAGTGCATATACACTGTCTGGCAGGGAAACACATCCAAGCACATCCTTCTCTCATTAACTTAGGCTACCAAAGTCTGACATCTGGAGAACTCACCATCATCCTCCAGAACTCTGAAGATCCTTCCTGCTTCATCTGCCTACTTTCATCTTTTCCAGATGTCTGTGAGCTAACCTTTTCACAAAGAAGCCTTCCTCCTAGGCTGTGCAAACACTTGAGGCTTCATCACAAAAGCTTTTACTCATGGTACCCAAACAAGTGGTGTGGGAATCCTCCCCATATTCCCCCAAGAAAAAGCAAACCGCAGCCTTGCCTGCACAGTTCTGCGCTCACACAGCAAAGGCAGGCACCTGGCTGGGCCTCACCTCTTGCACCAGGCAAAGGCCTGGGGCTCAGCAATGACAAAGGGCAGTGAAAGGGAAGGATATTTAGCTGCTGGTCTGGGAGACATAAGGAAATATCAATGTCTGTTTTATTTAATTGTGTGACGAGACTGTAGGATAACACTACAGCCTGGGGCTGGCTTGGAGGCTGGCAGTGAAGCAGAGCTATTGCTGCTTCTGGATGATCCGCAGTGCTGCTGTAATGCCCTGGGAAAGGTCTGTGTTAGAGACTGTCTGGCTGAGGCAAAGCCTCCCTTAAAAGCCTTAACAATGCCTGTTAAGGCTGCTCTACAGACCCATCACCGTGCTGCTGGCTAGCCAGTGCCCACCAAAATGCAGCCACAACCATGCCAGATGTTCTGCAATGCCAGAGAAATAGCACCTGGGCAACAGTCTGCCAGGGAGAATTTCCCTGGACACTACCCAGAGACAGCAAGTGTATCTTTCTCAGTATGGACAATCCACAGGAATGTAGAAAGCCTCAGAGCCTCCTTACAGGATGGGCAGGCTTGCCCAACTAGATTATGGAGTCAGGGTTTCTGCTCAGCTTTGGTCCACTGAGGTTTGCTGGTCATGCTTGTAAGACAATGCCATGGTCTTCTCCCTGGCAGAGCAAGGGCAGCTCTCCATTGTCTGGGGTGAATGTTCTGTCTGCACGTATCTTTCTGAACTTAGCTTCAAGACCTGCAGCTTTCAGGGTATGAGAGACAGTAAAAAGCACAGGGTTTTAAGTCTGAATGGTCTCTTTGACATTGCAGAAAAATATCTGTACACCTCTGGCATGGAGAGACACACCCAGCATCAGGCCAGGCATACCATGGCCTTGCACCTTGGAAATCTGGGTCGCTAAATTAAATATAAAATAAATCAATACTGAGCCTCAGGGCATTTTCCCCCATTGGCTGCCCTGCTGATGCACGTCCTACTGATGGTGGGACTCCTCCCTGCTCCACTTACTGCACTGCAATGTCAATAGGAGCCAATAACTACCCAATAACCACTACGAACGTTTCTGGGAGCCAGGCACGTGTGGGGCTTCCATGGAGTTTCACACGGATTTCTCAGTTCCTACATGCACAATAACCACTTCAGCACACTCAGTATGAGCTCATGCATAAAAAAGCAGTCCACCAGGCAGACGATCTTGGTATCTGGCACCTTTGCTCCAATCCCTGCAGCTTCTGATTCTCCTATGCACACTGAGTCTCCTTCTCACTGGAAAACTGGGGGCAGAGTACACTCTGCCCAGCAAGACAGCTCAGCAAGCTTTCCTCACAGCGATGACAACTTATTACACAGTGCTCTTCAACAACAGCCCTAGAAAGCATCCACAGGTGTACAGCCAGAAATGGCTGGAGGACAGATAAAAAGCAAGGAGCCACGTTTCCTGACAGCACCTCCAGCGACAGGAATCAGAGTGCATCGATGAAGGCACATCTCCAGAGCCCTACCTACAGCAGACTAAGGAGAGATCTGCTTTGCTGCTCTTCCTTAGCAGTGTTTGTGGTTATTGATATGCCAGCTGGAGGATACAACTCATAGGAGCAGGGTGGGCACCTGGTCTTAATGTAGGAGAACTACTGGGTTTAGGAGTCCCATACAGAACCCAGCTGAAGTGCTCCAGGCTGCTCTACGGAGACCCTTTCTGTGTCCTGTCAGATTGGTGCTCTCCCCAATGAAAGTCAAGCTCAATAGAGCACCAAAATGTGAGGTCCTTATTCATGACAGGATCTTAGACTGAGACCAAAGGGTGATATGCTCAGGGCATAGGTCTGTCCTTGCTTGAAGCCAAACTCCCCAGGGAGTACTGTTCTTGCTGTAGCTCCTCTTCAGTGCTCCCCAGGATCTGAGTGTGAAGACTGTGACAACATCAGAGGACAGAGAGCAATATGGTAGCTCCACTACAATGAACTGGTATGTTACCCTCCCACACAGCATCTCTTACAGTCTCTTCCAGAAGACAATCTCATCACATTAGCTCCCACAGTCAGATTCCTTCAGATGAACAAATTCCTTTTCCACCAGCTTAAATATGAATATGACAAATATGACTGCACTGGTTAAAGTCTTCCCCAAGAATGCCTTTGCTAGCAGGCAATTGCCTTCAATTTACACCATAGCTCCTGCTCCTCTCCTTTCATTTCCCTCAATCCACATGAAGGAAGACCAGAAAGAGGCATCAGAGTATTTGTATCAGTACTAGAAAACAACTTGCTATCCTGGCATCACAGGGATAATGCACACTGCCCATATACCCCAATGGTTAAGTTATAGCAAGAAAAGGGACTTAAAACTCAGACTCTTGAAATATGTAAAAAGATTTTAAACTCAGGTTCTTAAAATATTTAAAACTAGACTAAATGAAATGCTAATCAACACCCTGTAAGACATAGCCCTATGCTGGCTTCTGGCAAAAGCAACTGCCCTGTCCTGCACAGAGCCCATCTCTCCCGGTTGATGCTAAGTTCAGTGTGATAGGGATGGCTTATCTCTGCTACCAACCAGGTGTCCAGGTCCAGCACTCCCCATGCTCCAAACACTTAAAAGAATGCAAGGAGACCGAGGACTCCATTCTGTTCAAAAGCAAATGGATTCCTCCTGGATCTGAGTCGGTCTTGGAAGAGGCATTGCCATGGAATGAATGGCTGGGGCAAGCGGCACTGGCTGAAAGTGAACTGGCTTTGCACAAAACAGACTCTGGTGTCTCGGCCATGTCTGACTCTGCCATACCTCTCTGCAGGATTAATTCACAATGTGGATTCATTATACAGAAATAATTAAGAGTTGACTGTACAGTGCACCTGCAGTATTAGCTGTAGCAATCAATGAATGTGTTAACTACTAGAAAGCCAAATTTCCCCACTTTGTACGTGATGCATTATCACACCTTGCAGAGTGATCTGCCCCTTCTACCTTCTCAAGAATAGCCATGTTTTCCAAGGTGAACCTGGAACAATTTCTTCACACTTTTAATTTACAGTTCATTCAGCCTGGGCAGCTGATGGGATCAATTTGCTCCAGGTTTCTATTTTGAACTTTGCTACTATTATATGCTCTATCAATTTACAGTAACAAGTAGCAGACTTGTTACTGTAACAGCCAGAAGCTAATCCCCACTTGCTGGTCCCTGCAGAAGCACATAGGCAGACATTTTTTCCCTGAAGGCTTGTAAAGATGGAACAGATGACAAAGAGAACATGATGCTGGGACTGGGAGGAAGGGCAAATTAAGTCTTTTGCTCAAGATCAAACAGTCTGTGGCAGAGGCAGAAGCCGAACCGAGGCATCCTGAGCTCCTGTTAAAATCACTGCTTTCCCACTCTTCAGTGTAAAGCTGTTTAGTGGGCTAGGTCTGGGACATCAGCCTCCCATGTGCTCTCCTAAAATCCCTTGAAAAATTAACACATGATCCAGATGAGGACATGTGGACAACCATGAGCCATGGCTATGAACAGTGTCACTACCAAGGTGGGCCACATTTAGCATCATGTACCAAGGAAGAACCCCTGTGAGAGATGGGAGTGAGGCTCTGCTTTCTGCCTGGTCTCCGAGATGGTTCAGAGATCACTCTGCAAGGGATGTGACAGAAACAGATGCAGAGAACAGGAAGACATTCTTGACTCTCATGATTCCTATCCTCTCCTTCTCTGCTTTTCCCACTCTTGCTTTCTTCCTTCCTCTTTCCCCCCCTTCCAGACATCCCAGTGAGCCTGCCATCAGGTAGTTTCACAGCCATGCTCAAGCACGCAGATACAAAGACTAGGTTATTTTTCTTTCTCTGGGCAATTAGGGTATGGAGCAGAGCTGAGAACTTGATATCCACCTCCACTGTCAGATCCGCACCTCGACTCAAATTCCAACAGAGCAGCAGCACACTGTCACCTTGTGCTACAAATGGAAGGGGAAATATCTTTGTCCTTATACACGTCTCAGAGCAGCTGCTTTTTCTCTGCCCACGGCATGGGCCACATCCTGATAAGCACCAACAGCAAGATGCAGCTGCCTCTGGAGCTGCTTGAGCAAGAGGCACACAGGAAAGCACCTCAGCACTACAACACAGATCGGTACTAAGACCTCACAGAGACACTGCTACACAGACATCAGGCAGCTCCTCTGGTGTCCCCAGACACACAGTGGGGCTGACTGTACTTCCTCTAAACCAGAAGACTAACCTGACATAGAGAGGGTACAGACAACAAAAACAGGAGGGGGTTATGCACTGCAGCTGGGGGCTCTGATCTACAGCTGCAACCATGGAGTTACTGCTCTAGTACTTACAAGTGGGCTCCCCGCCTGGGTAGCCCAGATGGTTTCTGATGGCCTCCCATAAATCAAAGTCTTCAAAATTGAAGGCAAACTCATCAAAGTCTTCATAGCCGAGTGAGTTGCGAATACAGGTGCTTATCACTACCTCCGGGCTGCTGCCCCCTTCTGATTCCTTCGCTGGCTCCTCTCTCTCTTGAAGGGCTGTCATTTTGTCCTTGTGAAGGTCAGGGGTCAGGTGTCATGAGCGACACGCCTTCAGGTGAGGAGCCAGGATAGCCAGGCTGACGTGTGGAAAGCAAGCTGCCCCCCCGGGGGGCTTCACCACAGCCCTGAGGCCGGTCCCAGTGCCTCGCTCCCCTGCTCACGGGGCATGAAGGTGCCGGCTGCAGCAGCCCCGAGGACTGATGAGGCTCCAGGAAGACTGGCTCCACCCAGGGATGCTTCTGTGAGAGGCTGCCCCACCAGCTCCTCCAGAGCAGGGTCCTCGCTTTTCCGTGGGGTCTTGTGCCAGATGCCCGGGCATGCAGCACCCGTGGCCCGGGGATGGCCAGGCTGTGTGTGCAGCACTGCTTCTCTCCCTCACTCCCCTCTGGTGTCTCCCTCCCTCTCCAGCCTGCAGAGCAACCTATTGAATTCTCCATGTCCTCGGGCCGGAGCGTGCATTTCCATGACGTCTCTTCTCTCTGTCCTCCTGCCACGCACAGGGGCAGTCCCCCTCTGAGGCGCTCCAGAGGAGGCAGCTGCCTCTGCCAGGAGAGCAGAGGAGAGGGGAGGCTCCTCGTCTCAGGTTTTCTCCAATACCAGAGCTTGCAGTGTGTCACAGAGAGGGCTGATCGCTAGGAAAGTGTGTCAGGAAAGAAGAGAGCTGGGTCCCAGGGAAATTCTGGGAACCCTGAACTGGAGAGGACAGGGCAGTGGGTGGAGGAGCAGGCATCCATGGGGTAGGTGGGAGTAGAGATGCTGAAAATATGAGGATCAGTGCTGAGGACAATGCAAAGCTGACAGAGATGAGACATTGCTGGAAAATAAGGATCTGGGGAACAGGAAGGTGAGGAGCAGGTGCTGTGGCTGTTAGGGGAGAGCAAGAGAAGCACAGGACAAAGGGACACATGCAGGTAGTGTTGAAAAGCCTCACTTTTCATGCCATCCAAGTCAGCAGATGCCAGCATCTGGGCCTCGGCCTCGTCTGTGGGGACGCGCTGGTACGCTGCACTCTCCAGGGTGGTCATGCTGCCGATGCACATCCTCTCCTTCAAGTCATACGTGACCCGCTGCCCACTCGCCACCTGGCCCCAGGCCTTGCGCTTCTCCCACCCACGTGACAGACGCTCTCGAGGCCCAGGGGGGCTGTAGGAACCAGAAAAACTGACAATAGTAAGTAGGGTGAATGAGAATGGGCAGTGGCCCTCAGGGGTTGGGGTCCAATGGCCCAGGCCTGACCAGCAAGTCCCTGAGAAGGAGCAGGGCAAGGAGTCATCTCCTGCAAATCCTGAATGATGCTCCTTCTGCTCCTCCTCTTCCCCACCACAGAGTGGGATCAGCTTGTGCCCAGTATCGGGAACCTACCCCTGAGTTGATGGCCTCATGGTCCCCTCCTGGGGCTTCCCAGCTTGCAGCCCAGCATGACAGCACTAGTTAGCTGGGAGGAAGGTTAATCCAGGTGTGCAGCCCAGTGCCTATAACCCTGCACAATGGGGATCCCATGGACCCAGGGAGGTTGCAGGAGTACCACGGAATCATCATCCCATCAGAGAGCAGCCCTCTTGCTCACAGATACTCTCCCTCTGGGGCCCATGTCCCTTCTGACTCAGAAGGCAAGTTCGGGCTAAGCACAGCCAGTACCCCTGGGGACAGACTCTGTGCAGTGACCTTGAGCTGGGGAGAGCAGCAGGCAGCTTGGCACCGCTCACCTACCTGTGGAGAGAGGCAGGGCCCTTGTCCTGCAGCAGGTCAGCAAAGCGAGGCATGGGGGACAGGATGCCACACTCCTCCTCCACACGGAACTGTGCGGGAGCCAGAGCACTGCTGGACTCCTCCTCATCACTGCCAACGGTGAACTGCAGAGACAACAGTCCTGACAGCAAGAGCCAGGCAGACAGCCTCCACCCCAATCCTTGGCACACAGATCCTCCCCAGAATGGGCCACAATGACTTCCCCCACACGCTCCATACGCTGGGACTGGTCATATTGAGCCCTCCACTATACTATAAACATTAAGGACAGATATACTGATCTTCCCCCATGGGTCTTACAGCCCCAAAACACCCATGCACAACCACCCCTGCATCCACATCAAGCAATGACTTACCTGTCACTGTCCTTTGGTGGCCATCTCTGCTAGGCAGACAAAAACACTCTTCCCATGGTACTGCACAGCTACAAGTTCTTATCCCTGATCAGCACACTTGCTGGCACCCTCCTAAAACCTCCCCCCAGACTCCAAGCCCCATCCAGACAGGCATGCCCTGGCCTTGCCTTTGGTTTGCTTGGGGACTCCAGCTTAGGGGATGTGTCCTTCCCACGAGCTTCAGCCTCAGACTCTGCAGAGATTTCTTTCTCCTGGACCTCCTCTGCCTCAGATTCTCCTTCTTCCTCTTCTTCTTCCTCTTCTTCCTCCTCTTCTTCTCCCTCCTCGTCCTCTTCCTGGATGGTGGGGGTTACCTCTGAGGGAGGTATTGAGGTTTTCTTCTTTTTCCTCCTCCGTTTTTTCCTCCTGCTGGCACGAGGTGGCCTCTTTTGGAACTTGAGGGCAGAAGGGAGGTGAGTGGAAAGGGGATGATGGATGTGGTGCGAGGTTTGGCGGTGGACTGAGAGAGAAAAAGAGAGTCAGGGGCAGGAAGAGGCTGGGAGGAACCTGCCAGGCGCCCCTCCAGGAAACAGCATGGTCTGAAGATCAAGGGCCAGGAAGGGCAAGGAGAGCCACCAGCCCACAGGGACATAGCAAAGCTCTTTCAGTGATGTGGCAGGCTGTGTCCAGCCTGGGGAAGGTAGGGACAGGGCCCCTGTGCAGTGCCAAACCACCCCAACACAGCTGCACTGCCCTGGGGAAGGCAGCACTCCTCTCCTCGTGTTGACAAAAGCCATTTGCATGGCTGTGCAGAGCTGCAGTGACTTGCCACAGGCAACATCCCCTTCCTAAACATGGGGAAATGTTCCTTGCATCCTCAAACAAGCATGATTTGGGCCCTTCACAAACTCTCTACGAACATTACTTAGTGGTTAGGCCATGTCATAGTAGCGGACTTGGTGTAAGGTTTACAATCGGACTTGATGATCTTAAAGGTCTTTTCCAGTCTAAATGATAGTGATTTCTGCATAATGTTTCTTTGAGTTGAACAGATGTGGCTTATTTATCCCCCAGGCTTTGACAGAAAGTTCCTTCTACACAGTTATATGAACAACAGTGTAGATGCAACCTAAGTCACATCCCAGGCATGTGTCTACCAGCCTCTGTGTTGAGGGCATGTGTCTACCAGCCTCTGAAATTCAGGTTTAGTTAGGAGGCTGTCTTTTAAAAACCAGGGTAAAGAAACAGGGCAGAAGGACTTTTCTTTAAACTAATCTACAAAGAGAAATTCATACAGGCTTGACCTGGGTGTCATGGGAATTACAGCATGAGAAGAAATTAAGGGCATTTCTGAGCCTTCACTCCAAAACAAAGGCAATGCTCCAGGCAGGGAACAGGGTAAGCTCAGCATTCCACTGTAAGAGAAAGAGAAGCCATTGCTGCTAGGGCTAGCTGCAGGCACAAAGCCTCCCACGGACAGTCTGCAGGATGCACAGGTCCTGGGGCTGCACCTGGAGAGGCTGAAATCAGGGGGGCACTAGCCACTTGGCATGGGGGTGTTGCTCAGCAGCTCTTCCTGAGGAATTGTTTCCAGTCTGTTTTGATTTGGTTCCTTCCCAGCTTTCCTGTGACATGGCAGCAAAATCTGTTTATAGTGAAAAATACCTTCAAAGGACATTTTCAATGTAGGCTTTAACCTTCTCCCTGGGAGAGCCAGGCAGGTTCATTGTTCTGCTGTCATGTTTCCTTTCCTTTGGTTTCTCAAGTCTTTTCTCCCTTGTTTCCCCCCTTGGGAACAGCAGGGATATTTCACACATCCCCCTGGTTCAGAAGCAGCTTGTGGCAAGATTAGAGGAGATTTAGAATGGTCAGACGTCTGCAAATTGGAACGAGTTTGGGCTCTTTATCAACACTTTTCTCTGAAAAGTGTTTTTTCTTTGACTTAACTGGGTGTACCCTATTTCACTCACAAGATGTGGCAGAAAGACCCTCCTGTCCTGCTTCTGTACTTCCATAGCATGCCACAGATAGGTCAGGAACAAATTCCTAATATAAGAAGCAAGGAATACCACAACTATACACACGTTGCTCTTTCAACAGCACAAAGCTGCTGGTGAGGACACAGCCCATCTTTTCTTTTCTGGCTTGTTCACCTCAGCCCAAGACAGAAACATTTATGTTTTGGATCAGGAGGAAACTTCCCTTAGCTGCAGGGAAGGGCAGTGATGGGTGTGATCTGGCACAGAAGAAGGGAGCACTGCTTTTCTCTTCACTCCTGCACTCAACCCTCCTCGTGTCAACTGATCATATTTCCACAGAGGTGGTCTGGAGGTGGGAAAAACACACATCTCTCAAACACAAAAGGATTCATACCTCCCTCTTCTTCCTCCTTGTCCTCCTGTGCATCCAGTCCCTACCCTCCCTCCTTGCTTCCTTTCTTGCACTGCCTGCCTGTATGGAAAGTTACTGCCAAACTAGTGTCCCAGATGTCTGATTACATTTCTTGGTGAACTTGATACAAGAGATATGAAAAAGTAATTTGGATAGGGAGCCCAGAAGGAAGAGCCTACATATTAGGAATTCCTGGCTTCGACTAGAGCAGGAAACATTTCTAAGCCTAGAGAACATTCACCTCTATGGGCTGGTATGTTATCTTTGAAAGTCTAATGACCTAACCAGACCTTTCAGCTTTATGAATATGAACTGCATAAAACTTTTGATAACCAGGGTTGATGTAGTCCTAGACAACAGAAATAAATCAGTAGTTCAGAGGAAAACAAGCTTGATTCCAACAAAAGAAAAATGATTCTCCTATTAATAAGGAAAAATACCCCAACCCCAAACAGTACAAATCTCTAGTCAAATTTTCAAAAAGCTTCTGCCATGCATGCTCAAGCAGATTATCCATGTCCTCCAAGCCAACCCGCACACCTGTGCACACAGGCAGAGCTTCTGAGCAGGTAGGACCTATGGGCACAGGATAGGAACTTAACCCACAGCAAAGCTATCAGCACCTTGCAGCCATGTGCACGAGTGACTGTGAGCCCAGATGGGAAGTGTTATTTGAATGGAGCCTCTGTAGAGAAATGATACACGTGAAAAACCAGCAGCTGAGGTGCACTATGGTAATTTACCAGCAAGCTTTTATAACAGCCATTGGAAATGAGTGGCCAAGCAGAAAACAGCCTGGTGATGTACTTGGGACATAATGTTCCCAAGGTTGTATCCCATCAAAGTCAAGCTGGAAAAGAAGCATTATGTGACTGTGGAGAGCCACAGACGGGGAAAATCTCCCAAC